TCTCTCTCTCTCTCTCTCTCTCTCTCTCTCTTTCTTTCTTTCTTTCTTCCTTCCTTCCTTCCTTTCTTTCTTTCTTTGTTTCTTTCTTCCTTTCTTCCTTCCTTTCTTTCTTTCTTTCTTTCTTTCTTTCTTTCTTTCTTTCTTTCTTGCACCTATGTACTTTGAATAACTATATTATACCTGAGTGTAACAATCTTTGATGGAATAGCGTTGGAGAAGCTGAAAATGGTTAAGATAACAGCTCCAACCAAAAAGTAGATGAGATTCTTGCAGTTCTGCTCGCACAAGCCAGGTTTCAAAACTGTACTTGGTGATGAAAGGCACGAACATCTTGTGTACGACTAAGAACAATAATCAAACCACTTTCAAGGATCAAATCTGAGCATATCGATATCTCTAGTCAACGCGTTATTGTTTTTACAAATGATACCATCTGAGTATATATCCATAATTCGGGACATTCTTTATTTTCAAAAATCTATTTATTTGATCCATTGGTGTAATCTAAGGATTATTCTAATTTGAACCTTGCAACCTCGACTAAATGCTTTGTGTTTGACCAGTGAACCGACGTATGGAAAATGGTGAATAATGAATGCGATCAGCACAAGTAGAGGTATAATTGTATGCTTAGATACTTACCAGATTAGTTACTTTCGTACATCCAGCAAAACACGGTGAGAAGTAGTTTAACCCATCAGGTCCACAAATTGGATTGTACGTTGACAATGAACAATTGCAATTGCTATTGCAAGAGTCCTTGATATTAATAGCATTGCTGGTGAGAGAAATAAGAGATATTGATGATATATTTGGTATGTCGACATACTTCTTAACCACACTAGATAGACTTTCAGTAAAGAACCGAATACTTTGCTAAGCGTAATAGATTTTAGTTTCCCAACCTTCACTTATACTTTTTCATACCTGTTCTTGTATGATTTATCAATTCCTGCAAAATTGGAATACTCGCAGCCTGGGATTAGGAATATCACTGCTGTCCATATACCAACTAACTGCAGATAGAACGTCATTTTAGCCGCTGATTTACACGAGTCTTTAGCACCAAATTTCTTGACGAGGAAAGAACCTTTTAGAAGTATTAAAACGCAATTTATTAGCAAAAACATTATTAAGATAATGAGATGAAATTGTGTATAAATATTGAGTGTATTTATACAAGTAAAAAGTGTATGTATATAGTGTATTTGTATGCATGTAGCTGGATATGTCTCTACCTAAAGCTATTCCTCCACCAGCACCAGGAATAAGAATCAGGGCGATAGACAGTCCTATGATAGAGGGCGAAGCTCCATATCGAGTACGAATGATCTTGAACAAGAAAGGTCCAAGGCCTCCTCCGACCAAAGCGCTGTGAAAGAAATGAAAATTTGAATGTCAAATTTTGAGAGTGGCATCGGCAATGGCCGTAAGGCCATCTCATGGTGATACCGGGTTAGCATGTAAAACCAAAGCTTTTGCACATTCTTTGTTTTGACTTATTTGTCTTTGCTATCCTTCCATGTATAAGCTGCTATTTCTAAAATGTTAAAGAGGAGGTGATTGGCTATTACATAGCCAATAGGAACTGTAGGCGTACACCTAAACACGAATAATTAAGTCTTTTAAATGGTTTTGTCGTTTACAAACGACGCTAAATATCTCAACTTTATCATCTGTTCTTGAAAAGAATAATAAGAAACACCAATCATTCTAGCTATTTGGTATCGCCTATAGCTATTCGCTCCTTCAACCTCTCTTGGCGGAAAGATCTCTATATGTAGTGCTGCATCATTTACGTAACTCACCTAACAGTCAATGCCATATTCTGATACATGAATGCCCCATTAGTCAACAAGGATTTGGTGACAGGCAAGATATCTTTCATGTTTCCGGAAACATTTTCTCCCTTTTTGATAAGACCTCGTTCAATGGCTTGTTGACGTAACCTTGTTGCATTGGCAAGCTGTTTAGGAAAACCCAGGAGAATGATGCCTACAACAAACAATAAGCCTCCACAAGCAAGAGGACCCAACCACCAGGCACCAATCCATGCAGGGTCTTTACTCTTTAAATACACATTTGGTGGCTTTGAAAAAAAACAGACTACCGTGACTTTTAGATTCTACAAATACATATTAGAACTGAAATTCGTTAGAAAATCATATAAAAATATTTAACGTCGGTATTTCCTTAATTCAACTGCTATCAATAGAAGCCGACGCTGCGCACTTAACCCCCCCCCCCCCCCCTCTCCATCAGTGCGCTATCTTAAAAATATTCAAAGCTGAAGCTACACCGGGGTGAGAGAGAAGTGGAAACCAACGTGGAGATCGTCAGGATCGAACCGTGGACCTCTATATAGCTCTGAATGCCGCGCAGTAACCAACCGAGCAACGACTGCTCCTAAATATACTTGAAGAGTATTGTAGCTGTACAGTCTCTTGTAATGGCGCGAAAACCAGTCAGACAGGCCATAGAATTTCCCAATTTTTACCTTTACTGAATACGTTTTATCTAACAAATGAGTTGCCACATACCAGTTTGATGTCCACGTATATAAAGTTAAGCAAATTTCCTCCAATTATACTGCCGAGTCCAGGCCCTAACATGATGGTGGCGTAGAACACACCAATGTAGACTGAAGTATATTTTGGATCTACGTTCTCATCAATGTACGAAGTTCCTAAAGTGTGTAGAGGTGTCGTTCCTGCTCCTGATAACAACTGGGACAGGATGAAGATCATGAGATACATCGATGTTCCAACAGTTCCGTCTGCAGAACAGCCTTCTTCATTTCTGTAACTGTGTTGTGTTGTATTAGAGCCACAAAGTCCAAATGATTCCTCGTTTTTTTCTGGTTTGACAGCAAACCAGATGTATTAGTCACAAGCAAATCACATAGTTGTTCATAAAGTCTTCATCTTTTAGGGCTTGACAGAAATAGCCAATACTGACTTTTTGCCCTTAGTCATGGAAAGCGCCTCTAAAAAGTTTAGGTAGTACGTACTTACTTGCAATGTCGCCTCTTTCGATGAGGAAGTTAGGAAGAGCAAACATAATGCAACCTATGGATGTTACCAGAGCACCGTAACCCAACCACTTGGTCTTGTGTCCATAATCACCACGAAAACTGACAAAGCACACCAATAGGAGACCCATGACATCATTAGACGACACTATGACACCTGTCTGTGTGCTGCTAAACGAAAACTGTTTCTCCAAAGTTGGTATCGCAATGCTCACAAATGAGTTGATAGCCATTCCTGTTTCCAATAGAATCAAGAAGTCACCTGTATTCTCTTCCTATTACATACACATACTACAAATTTTCTATGAAGAGAACAGACTGTTGAATTCCTTGGAAACCTCCTACTGCAAGCTCATCATGCAGTGGCCTACCATCCATATATTCAAGTTTATATGATAAAGTAAGAACATAGGTACCTCATTACGAAACATAAATACTATCTTTACTTTGAATCATAATGAATATATATTACCTTGGGCTATACTGAAGAGAGAGACAAAGACCAAAAACCATCTTGGAGTCAACAGGGATTGAAGAATTTCGGGTCTGAATCTCAACCAACCCCATCTGACGTCATCATCTTCAAGCCTTACGACCACATCAGAAGGCAACCTATTGCTGTCTTGCTCATCCGGGGGTGAAGGAGAAACCCTTACTTTGTGATTAGTAACCATCGTATTTTCTGAACATGACGAAAAAAATAAATACGACTGATAAATGATTTATTAAATGAAATGTTTTGACGCATGCATGTTAGTTTTACATATTTTGCGACACTTTAAAACCATGATTTTGTCATGAAAATCGTATTTACACTTTCCTCAAAAGAAATGACGTTTTGCTTAATACAGTCAGGGGGTGGCCAAGCTAAGGGGGACAGGGCCCCCCTTCTCGACAACAAAAGGTGGCTTTTTAGAATTTTTAAAATTAAAACGTAATAAATAATGTCGTTTTATAATTGTTTTTCTTCGTTCGTCGTTTCGGTGGCCCAAAAAAAATTTTAATCCCCCCCCCCCCCTCTCCCGGACAATCCTTGCTACGCCCCTGTAGTAGTAAGGACAAGAAGCCGAATAATTTCGCGTTTTTTTGGTTGGTTTTGGCTTGAGTATAATGACTACTGGAGGTGCCAGTACTTTGTTCTCAATACCAACCTTCTTTTATCACTGCTTTTTAATGGTCATTAATCGATTTATTTTCTCAACAATTGAAGGTCACTCAATTTTCTAGTTATTATATTATCGCCTCACTTATTCTCGCCGAAATTATGGCGGAATTGAAGTGTCGCGAGAATTTTTTGTTACCAATTAAGGTAGCTAATCAGCCAGTGAGAGGGAAAATATATACTATAAGTGAACAAATTTAAAAGAGCAATGATTTAATATTTATCATTGGACTGAGAATCGATTCAAAGATATTCAGTTATTTAGTTCCCTGCAGTTCGTCTGTCACCTAGATATTTAAAGACATATATAACACATTATTTCAACATTCATGGACATCACAAAAACCCATTAGAATCGCTAAAAGTGACCTTTCGTCGGAAAAACCGGTTATCTGCTTATCCTTATTTTCTTTTGTGGGTAACATTTCGAGCACGTAGAGAGCAAATGTCTTCAGTTTTTACGACAATAATTCAACCAATGATTATAGGTTTTGGATCGGAAAAACCTATACTGAATCTAGAAAAAGAATTACACACGCTCCAAATAAACTTAAAAATCGCAGATGTTAAACCCATTGCCTATGTCTTTGTCAGGTTTATTATAATGTCTAACGTTTCGGGAGAATGACTTAGTGCACGTCTCTGATAGTTTATTCCCTAGAACAAACCAAGGTTGTGTGGGAGTTGGACACAAAAAGGTCTGGAATTCTTCCCTTCAAAGAATGAATGTTAAGTATTGAATTTGCTTGCATGTTTGAGCTGATTTGCATTCCGTACATTTTTTGTAGTCTAGTTATTTTACGTCAGTCCGCCTGTTTGGTCAAGTTATATTGGAAGTTCAGGCATCCACCTCCACACACTTTCATAAGTATTCCGCAAAATCTTACCAATCTGTTATTTGCTGTTTGTTAATGATTTGCCATGAGTTTAGCAATAAATAAAGAAAAATATAAAGAAAGAAGACAAAAAAGAGAACTTCCATCATAAGATGCAGTGCACCTTACTTACTGTAGAAAGTTGATATTCCGAAAAGTGCTCCGCAAAATAAAAACCAACGGGCATTGTAGTTTTTGATCTGTTTTGAAGACCGGAATGTAAGTTTGGAGTTACGAGACTTCCAGGGGCGGAGTGGAAGAAATTCAGTCTTAGCATCTTTTTTCCAGTACATAGTTTTCTTTTAATACTCGGCCAACTGATTTCAAAATGTTAAATTATACTAATAATTTGCAGTAACTTGAATGCAAATTGTTCACTTACTTGTTATGATCTAGCACTAGGCAATGGAGTGCAGCTTTACGACGTATACTTACGAAACAACTGAGAAGTTGTTTGTGAGTTGTTGCAAGTGACCTTGGAAGAGTCTTACTGTAGCTATACACACATTGTAAACGGCTGTGTGACACCGCGGACATGTTTATGACGTAATATAACAGGTTGGCTCTGCTATCATGCCGGCCCATGCGGCTTGACAATGTCAGCAGCGAGATTCAAATTGTTCGAAGTGCAGGAATGCTAAAGGTGGTTGGGTACGATTTATAGCCGACCGCATCAAGCTTGTTTATTCGCTTCGTTTATAATGTTGCTTTTATTTAATTACCATGAAACGTTCATCAAATATTAGACAATAATTGATAGTTTATAATAATTAATTTTGTTTTGAAATAGCGTTAAATACACAAACTATGACATATGGCTTTTTTGATATATGACGTTTTTTTCCTTATTACCTCGGTGATCATGGTGTTACAAAGTAATACCATGTCACTCGGGAAATTAGTAATTACATTTCCCCTAATACCTCGGGAAAATTTATAAAAGTCCCGAGGGCGGCTAGGAAATTTAATCACTAATTTCCCGAGTGACATGGTGTTACTTATAAATACTAGTACCTTTGATGCAATCGCTTTCTCCAGTCAATTTTTTTAATCACTTTTGCCACTTTAGCTCAAGCAGTGAACCTTCATAATATACTGATAGTAACATCGCGTCATCTGTATTCAAGATGCATCTCATAGTGTGAGTTTATTAATTAGCTGGCGATGACAATGATTACATATTTGTAATGTCTGACACTGGGCAATTTTAGGAAGAGAGGCCTACAGGCTACTGTTCTTAGTCACGTAAAAGGAAGGATTTGGTTTTGCCCCATGAGAGAAGGTTCATCGTATCATTTTCCCGTTTTTAGATGTATCAACATGTTGATTGACTACCAGCACTAATGTACGCCAGCATGCATGCCTGAAGCATTGCCTAAAACATTAAACCCAATTCGAGCTTGTTATTTTGAATCTACGAGAGTGACCTAAGGTATACTGACGAATTCGACTGTAAGCCGACAACGAACATACCTACGACATCTCCAAACTGATGATCAGTCTAGTCCATGCATGGATCGATTCGTTGATCCCGTTGATCTCGTTAATTACGCGAATGCCTTCGTTCAAAATCGTTGCTCCTGTGATGCCCCCAAATTTCCTATCATATTCATTAATTTATTTTATAAAATAGCTGTTATGAATGTCGCGTTTTGATTGGTTTGGAGCGCGTGCTTTATGAGAGTACCTTGCCCGCGCGCGCACTTTCCGTTGCGTCATTCCTATCTATTATTGTAATTTGTATTTTATAAAAGAAATAAAAAACTTGCTTGCTGTGCTGTGTGCCGTTAAAAAGCAATTGGGGATTGGCAGAATACTCAAGAAGTGTCCAGAAGCACTCCGCGACGCGTCGTGCTTCTCCTGACACTCGTGTTCTGCCAACCCCCGCGTGCTTTATGACAGCACACGGCACGCGCGCGCGTTTTCTATTTCTTCAATATATAACAGTTCGAGCTCGGAAATGCTATTATATCCTATAGATATCCTATAATGCCTATCGACACATACATGAAGGCTGTGTTAAAGGTTCATCTGTAACAATATCCAGCAGCTGTTGGGGTACGTATTTCTTTACTGAATTGAGATTTAACAGGGATAGACTGGGGACTAGGCAATTTTCGATTTCTTTGCACCGATCGAGAAAGTAGGAATTGATGCATGAGAGAACGTGACAATATGAATGGAAAATAGATACAAAAAAAAAAAAAAAAAAAAAAAAAAAAAAAAAAAAGAAAAAAAAAAAAAAAAAAAAAAAAAAGGAATGGGATTTGCTCTTCAGTATATCTATATATACATAGATTTTAGATCTCGGGCATTCTGATCATGGATGCCGGGAAAAATGTGTGTTAATAAACATAGTGCACTAGGGTCTAGCCAACTGGTCTAGCAGGACGCAAACACCTTTTGTTCATCGTGCCCTATATGGCGGTCCGTACCCAAGCTAGACCACAATATACCTTGTAGGACTGACAAGGAAGAAGAGACGCTTGCGAAATAGAAAATTATCTTATCCTCCTCCAAGAATCTGTGCTAAACGAATTGAGCAACAATGATTTTCTGCTTTTTATCTGTTGTGCAATTCCTGTCAGACCTGTCATGACTCGAGGGTAATTTTCAAACAGTTTTCGTTTCAACTGATCATGAATCTGCGCATGGGCTAATGATGATACCACTTAATTACTTAACGCAGGCTCGATGCTGACGGCGCGTCCCAATTTTCCCTCCAGACTCAGTAAAGACGAGTTTTTAAAATACTAGTTTTAGGATTCCTGTTGACGAGAGCGAAGATTAGAGGCAGCTACGAGACTATAATCACCAAGAAACAAAAACCTTTTGTAATGAAATAAAACTCGAACAAAACCAAATTGTGAAGTAGAAGCCAACATCTATATTAAGTCAGTCAATATTGGCTGGGGGACCTGGGGAAAGACGGCCGGTGCGCACCGCCTAGTGGTGCGGGTCTGTTGTCAGTTGTCTTCTTCGGGTTGTATTTTCGTTTGCTCCAACATCCGCATTCATTGATGCGTATTGGGCTAATTGTGACAGTAAACTATATCAAATGCTTGATTGATTGACAATTGTATGGAAATACACCCGTATCTTATTGATAAGATACTATAAGATAAGATACTATGAGTACCAAACTACCAGTCAGATCGCGTAATGAAGCTAATGTCTGTCTAGCTATTGCGTCAATAAAACCCGGTAATCTTCAGTGTTTGTTCATTTATTGATTCATTTCCTAATAYATTTTCCCTACTTATCCATATTGTTTGGTTCTGGACTTTAGTCAGTCTATTTTGCCTTGCCCTCCAAACTAGCTAAGTCTTAACAATTATCGGGAATGCATTGCCTGCGGCTACTATTAGGGTGATAAACATAATGTAACTGATAGTCGATGTACACTTATTGCAGCGATATAAAAAACCTCAACGTGCTTGCCACGAGAATTACACTCTTATCTGCTCACAAATAGATACAATACAGAGACATCGCTATCTCAGTGCTGCACATCGCGATAACTATGCGATATATAAGAGGCTGATTCGTCGTTAGAGTAATTTTGTGGGTTATTGGGACTTGATCGTATTTATCTACCTATACTAATCAACAGTTAAAAAGGCTTACCTTCCATTTCAAATGTCTCATTATATATCACAAAATTTCTTTTTCTTCTGCAAGCTCCTACATCTCAGTTACGTTAAATACAGCGAGACCAAGGTTACAGGTTTACTCGTTGTTCAACTAGACACATGAGAATTCATTTGCTAAGCTAGTGTCAACTGATTCTATCCTCATTGGATAACACAGAATTCCTGGCATGACTTCTGCCCTAGAAACCTATCATCGGTATTGATTTTTTACTGATCGTGAGTGTGCGGTTTCTTTGACATGTTAGTGCAGGCTCTCAGCCTTTGAAATATTTATCATACAGCTCCCATACTATGTTTATGGCCGTCGATGACGTGTTTCGTTTTCTATTTTTGAAAATTGTATGCATACGAAAGAATCTTTTGATAGGGCGTCTTCATGTAGTCGGTCAAGGGCTCTAGGTGACGTCAGCCGAGTATTGCACAGCAGTTACTTGCAGTAAGGGACTGTGCAATAACTATCTGGAGGGGGTGGGGTTCTGAAATGAGCAAAGTAGGCCTTAAAGTGACGTTAAGTCCCCCTGTACTAAATGTAAAATAACTTCTTACCCCTCCCCGTTTTAA